GCAGCAGCAACAACTAACCAGCAAGAAGCAACCTGCAACGTGCAACGTGCAACCAACAACAGGTGAGTGAGTTGCTCTCCGACTAACGTTACACGAAATGTGCAAAACAAATTCGCGGAAAATCGAAAAGCGCCAGCAACAACAACATGCTTTTTAAATGCTTCAACCGCATGCAGAATTTGGGTCTGTTCTTTTAAATGTTAATTTTGCAGCAACAATTCAATAAGCGATACATAGCAGCAACTCAAAATGTCATCAGCAGCATATTTCTGGCGAATATTTGTGTTGATGTTGTTGTTGTTGTTGCTGTTGCTGATCTGTTTCTTTGGCCTCCAGTGTGACTGGCTGGCCAGTGTTGCCATTCTTGTCATTGTTCGAAGCTTACTTTTGTTTGCTTCCGTTTTTTTTTTTTTTTTTTTTTTTTGTTTTTCGCTTTTCGTGCTGTCTAAAAATTGTGCTGACCAAGCTTCAAGTGACACTAGAGTCATGTTATTAATTGCTCTTCATGGTCCAAGTTGCGCTTCAACTTAATGCAAACTTTTGCTTGGGGCTGGCTCACTCAAAGGCAATGGCCAAGCTGCTCCTCACTTGCTGCAGTTGCTGCTCTTGCTTGACAAATGATAAGAAAATCAAAATGTGCAGCAACCAGCAATCATCAACTGGCAACCGGCAACAATGCTGACAAGCCAAAAAGCAGCACAAAGTTTGGCAACAAATGTTGCCACATTCAACAATGCACAGAAATTAATGTCAAGTAGTAGTTGAATTTCCATTATATAATAAAAATAAAAATAATAAAGGGAACAAAAAAAGGTTTGCTCTAATTACATTCCATTAAGTAAGCTTTTCGTAAGCGCAGCCAGCTACCACAAAATGCACTCTCAGTGGGACGTCGAGAGGGTCCATCATTATCATTATCATTATCAACCTCATCGATGATGGTCTCGAGTGCCGGTGGATTGCCCAAAGAAAGCAAATTTTGGAAGCGCTGCGGCACTTGGAAGCGACGAACGACGAGTGTTGAGTGTTTGAGCTGCCAGCTGCTTGGCCGACCAAATGACTAGATGACTGACTGAACTTGGCATTGTTGTACCCGTACTCGTACTCGTATGTGTTCGATGTGCTATTGTTGCCATTGTTAACGGGTATTATGTTGTTATGACAGTTTGACAGGTGCACAAATGTACATACATACACGTACAGTGCGTATAGTACAGCACTCACCAGCTGTCCAATGCGTCGATGGCTCGATAAAGTGCGGCTACGGAAATCAAAGTGGTCCCAAATCTTATTTTTCATAGCCGCATATTTCTACACACACAGCGTTATCTCCATTATCATCATCATCATCATCATCATCGACATAGCCATCGTCATCGCTATCAAGTGGGCAATAAAATTATAACAGGCCCAGCAGAAATCAGTCATCAAAAATAGATTGCTTTTAATTGTTATTTAATCTTGGATACAACAATTTTGGTTTTTTTTTGCTACGCTTAACACTCAAGGTTAATTGCCATTTAAATGAGTGGAGTTTTGTTTGATGTGTGAGCGTCTGCTACATGCAAGTGTATAGATGTGTGTACGGGCTTGTTAGTTTATATAACAGTAGGAAGGAGTGCTTGTATGTGTGTGTGTGTGTGCGTTCAAGGAGCAATGGAGTCTGGGCACGTTCAGTGCTCGCCCTTGCCTTGTGCTGCAACATCAGCTCAAATATCAGTGCAGCCTTTATTTTACCCTCTACCTGAGTAGGACTACTATTATCTAATGCTTGCAACATCAGGAATGGTTTAAAGCTATTACTACAATTCTATACTAAGTAACTATTCATTCTTAAATCCCCTTATCCTCTTATCATGCAAAAGCATTACATAAGCTGTAACCAAATTTAACTTTATCTAAGCGGAAGAATAACAAGTTATTAATAAGTTGATAGAAAAAATATTATGTCATATATTTTAAGGAAACCATTGTTTAATTGTTATTTATTCATGAAGCAAACTAATAACCATAGTTACATAAAATTTTTACATAAAAGAAACTAAATGTCACCATGTAAGTAAACGAATAAGAATGTTTTTAATAAGGTAAGGTTGAGTTTAATGAAGTTATATATATATATATATATAACATTAATGGCTTAATCTTAAAGATCCAACGGTTGTAGTCCTTTGAGGTGGGCTATAGGACGATCGTGTGGAAGGCGCCTGAATAGTCTACTGAGTTCAGTCCGCGGTCCCTTATGGATTCTATTATTTATATTTCCAGATGACCTAACATGGTGCAGCGTTGAATCGAGGACGCAACATTTTTGTATAATAGATGCAATATTTATCAGATCGCTTATCAATCATGTCCAATTAAGATTTATTGAAGCACAAAAAGGAACATTTCTACCCAAAATACATATCAGGATTCATTATATTTTAATTGGTTGAAAACAAGATTTACGAACATAGATCGATTTCCAACCCCTGCGTTTTCATGTTCTTTTATTAAAGGAACTAAATAATTATTAGTTACAGTATTTAACGAAGGACACTTAAGAAATTTTGGAATAATAAAAAGCATAAAAAAATACTACTGTCTATGTTAATTATATATTATACAGTCGAAATTAAATAAAATGATATTTAATGGACGGGCAAAAATATTTAGCTATAGCCGATAGACGATATAGCATAGTTAACCGGAATCGCAGATTGAGAGATTCTTTAAGTAGACTCTGCTTCGAACCATGCCGAATTATCATCGAAATTCCAAGTTCTCATAAAATTAAATAATTCGCTAACCCAGGACAACGACTTAAATAAAGAATAGCACGAACACAAATAGAATAGCAAACTAAAATAAGTAGTCCTCTGAATTTTGTCGTTCATTACTAGATGTCGTTATCATCGCTTATTTTACATTTTCCTGCTTACTTTAAGGCTATTACTTGGCGATTACTCAGCGTTGCAAGACAAATGTTATATTTAGGATATAACATTAATCCAATTTATTAGCGTTTCCATTTAAAATTTTGTTTTGTATTTAGATATTAATTGAATCAGCTGTGTGTTTCAACTCCTCCCAGAAATGTTAGCAAGCTGCCTTCCAAATAATGTTAATGTTAATAATGTCCAAACATTCCATTTCAAATAATACATCGATTATATATAATTGGGAAGGGAATTAGAAAGTCAGCGTGTCACCAGGAATGTTATTTGCGATATTTTTTGCTTTTCGGAGAAAATCATGGTGAGATAAATTTGAGTTTTCGCATGAGGCTCACGTCATAGATTGAATTTTGAGTGTCGGCTACGTGGCAACCACAGGCTGCGTACAAGTAATTTTCTCAACACGTTCGGCTTGTCGTGCTATTCTGGACTGGCTTTCTCTTAGGCTCAGCAAAAGGGCACACACACAGACATACAGACAGACAGACTTTAATATTTACACAAAGACTTGCACAAATACCAATAAAAAGAGCCAGACTATTCAAAACTATCGCTCGCTCAACTGACATTCCCAATGACATTTTGGCACGTCTGCTGCAGCGCCCGAGGCCCAAGAATTAAAAGCTAAACGACGGCGACTGTCATAAAACTTAAATATCAAATTTTGGGCATTTAGTTGTAAGTATTTAATGAAGTCATTTGGGTGTTTTTACAAGTGCTGACGAGAACAGGCGATTGTTGCCTGTTTGTCTTGATACTGGAAATCTTGTCAGCAGACATGGTTGTGTGCTTGGCCCCCTTGGCTAATTTGTTAGGAGAGCAGACAGTACAAGTAACAGCAGCAGCAGAAGCAGCACCAAGAACAACAACAACAACAACAACAACGAAGCTACAACACAGACAAGCAATGTGCTATAAAGTTGTTATACATACTACGTAAGCCACAAAGGCAGTTGCAAACTCTAATGATCATCAGTGGCATCATTTATCAAATAGTTGGTGTTGTTGCTCATCATTAAAATCAGCAACATCATCAATTGCTGCTGCTGGTGCTGCTGCCATACCAGCTATTGTTGCTTGTGCCGATGATCTGCAACATTTTTCACTTCAACACTCAGCAATTGCTGCTCAGCGCTGAGAAACTTTGAGCAAACCGCGCGCTCTCTCCCCACAGTCTCTAACCTAGGCTTGAGAGTTGCCAGCGTTCTGAGAGAGACGACGACGATACAGCTGTGTGCTCATGGAAGATGATCTAGAAGACCGTCTCTGGGAGCCAGTCAGCCACTCAGCCAGGCAGTCAGCAGCGAGCTTGCTTCCATTGTTTGAGCAAACGCGACTCAACTTTTTACATTGTTTTGGGTGCAGTTGGCAACGCGACGCCGTCGTCGCTGCCGCCGTCGACAGTGCTGCCAACGCTGGCTGCTGCGACTGCGCACCGCACATTGGCGCTGATTATAAAAAGCAAGCGCATCTCCAAGCTGTACCCTAATTCAAAACGTTCGTGTACTTCGTGCGGTTTGCTGTTGGCATCGAAAAACACAATAAAAATACAATTGAAGATACTCACACACACACACACACACACACACACACATACACACGCACAAGCACTGAAGAGGTTGTTTGTGTGGGCCCTCGTTGAAAGTGAGAGTTCAATTTCGATTTCAATTTCAATTCCAAGTGTCTTCAAAAGGATATTGACTGGAGTGTTCAAGTGTGCCAAAGCAAATTATAAATTATTAGAAAATAAAAACTACAAGTAAATGCCATTTAAACATAAAAAAATAAACAAAAAACCAAAAATTTGACAAACATTCGAAATAATTTAATTTTGCTTGCATTCGTATGCAAATAATTGCTTTAAACTAAAAGAAATATAAATAATATAGGCAATCTTTTGAAGAAGCTGTTCTTAATCTACTGTTTTTGTTAAACAATTACCATACAAATTATAATAAAAAACTTACTGTTTAATTTCTCATTAATTTAGCGACCGCGTGTGCATAAAACTTAGGATTCCAATCTTAGCCATTTTGCCTATTACTAGCAAAATGTTGTCCTTTAAAACATTTATGTTGCTTGTAAGTATTTCATTTAAATAGTAACTAACTGTTATTAGATTAATATTACATTAACATTATAACTGTTAAGAGAGTTTGTTGATTTTGAAAAAATGACTTGAAAGGTATTTCCTCTCTTTCTTTGGTGTTGGAAATAGTCCCCTTCTATATAATCAGCTAAAAAATTAAGTAAAATACAATTGTTATTGTATTTGTATTGTATTGTTTTTATGAAATTATACCAGTTATCTAGTTTTCTTCGATACACATTTAACAACATTAATGATGTGAAGAATCTTCGTTGATTGGAGAAGTGTTTCTTCTCGCTCGCTTTCATAGTAGTCCCCTTCAATATAATCAGTTGAATATTTAAAAATAAACATCACTTAATAATTTGTATTTGTTGTGGTCCTTTAAAAATTATACCAGTTATCCAATTTTCTTCAAATGAGGGTTTTAATAAACTGGTAAATCATTGGATTATCCACGCATTGCCAGCATATTTGTCCGCATTCCTTAAGTCGATAAATATAAGAGCCAACGACGTTTATTTATCTTATTTGGAGATCACATCTAAAAACTACACTCATCAATATACATACGTGTATCTAGTATACTCGCATGAACTGGGAAAATGCGTCTCGTTGTCGGAATTGTTTAGCATGCACTAAGCCTACATAAATCAGCTGCAAACAAATCATGTGAGCTTTATGACCCTCTGAAAAATGCCAGCAGCAGGACCCATTACCATTCCCACTGACTTTCGTAACATCTTACACACACACACACAAACACACCGACACAAACTAAAACAAAGAGCAACGCACAAAGGACAACAAGTTAAGCTTGTTATATGTCAAATTTGTATATAAGGATGTGTTGGAATTTGTGAGTGTGTCTTTGTGTGTGTGCGTGTGTGTTTGTGTTTGTGCGGACGTCACGGCCACAGTCTGATGGACAGCTGGACGCTTTTGAGCTTTGCTCTGCGTCGTCATTTTTCTTTGGCCACAAAGGACAACATCAACAACAACAAAATATATATACACAGCTTAGCTATCTTCCCTCTGCATCATTCCGCCTGTCCGAGTTACATATATGCTGTGGTGGATTTGCCTCTGATTGCCGTTTATAGCGGGCATGTTAAAAAGTTAACTTGTGCTCATAATTTAAGCCTCGGCTAACTTCAAATGGGATTTAGTGTTGCAGCAGTTGCCCCCCAACTGCTGAACCCATCGAGACTGCCAGACAAGTGTGCCTGGCAAACACAACACTTGTCAGCACTTGGCGTCAATAGTAACGAATATGGTTGCATAACCCAAACATCTTGTACAACAACAACAACAAAATCTCCCTCTTTTTGGTTGAAGTTGCGCTTTGGAAAGGAAAAACAAAATCGAACAAATTGCAAATAATCAAAGACACTTAAGTGCTATGCGTAATATATGCTGGAGAAATACATATAAACACACACACACACACACACACACACACACACACCCTCGCAAAGCACACACCCCCACTTCAGCGCACTTTGTGCTGAAGAGCTGAAGAGCTCGAGAGCTAGAATTGTTGGCAACAGCTGCTCACGTAAAATACGTACAAATAAAGAGAAATAATATTTGATTATTCTCAACAACTGGCTTGCCATTGTCGCATTTAGTGCGTGTGCCCAATTTTTACGCATTGTACGAGTGTGTGGCCTGCTTTTAGGCGCAGTGCCATTGTCATTAAGTAGGTGTTTATGTGTGTGTGTATGCTAGGGCGTGGCACTTAAGTGAGCCCATAAACAAGACGCCCCTTTTTTTTGGGGAACCTTTATGAACATAAAGCAGAAATCCCGGCTCCAGCTCCAACTCCGTTGAGTATCATCATCAGTTTTGTTGCCACATGTTGTCCTAACATGCTGTGCGCCACTTTCACTTTATTTTTAAAGCCATCCAAACACTTTGCTTAAGGGACGCCCACGACTGCAGTGTGTTGGAAAAAGGCGATTTTTTGGCTGTTGGTATGCAGTCTGCAGACTGTCTGCCTCTGTTTTTTATGCATTTCACTGCCGAGTGGAGACAGGACAGACTTTGAAATGGGTTGGCCGTGATACAAAGGCCCAAGGTGGAAAGGAAGTGCGTTGGGTTGGACTTGGACAGACGCGCGTAATTTGCCGCTTGTAACTTTTTGACTTTTGGCCCAGCATTTTATTTTATTTTTTTTTGTGTATTTTTTTGTTGGTAACGCCCACGCAGACAGTAGAAGTCGCAATAACAACAGAAAACGCCCAAAAGCAGACTACCTTGGGAACCACAGGAACGTCAGGGTTCCAGCCAGACGTCTGCTCCGCAATCAACACTTGAAAACACATCGTGAAAAAAATATGAAAAAATTGTAGAAAATAGTGCTATATTTTGCGTATTGAAGCTTCAATGCTCTAGGATATATTCCTATGTGTATTATATTTATGGATCAGAAGGGCTTTAAGGACGAATGAGATTGTTTATTTTCCATATCACTGCACATCCTCCATTCTCTTCAACTTAAAGATTAATATATAGTTATTAATGATTATCTACGATGAATAAATCAAACTGTGTGCACGATTAGCTCCTAACTGCATATACATTTCTAGGTATAAAAGAGCTTAGCTCTAGCCAGGGACATGATATATTTTTATTCGAATATTCACATCTCTTCCATTTACAAACTATTTGGAAATATATTTGAAAAATAAACATAAGTATATTTATTTAGAAAGCGATATCAGAGAGGCTATTAACCAACATATCTATACACATTTCTATACAAAAAGCTGTAGTCAGGGGCATGATATAATTTTATTAAAATATACCTACCTCTTCCAATTGCAAACAATTTAGAATTATAAGAGAATTCCATGGAAAGTAATATGCGAAAGGGTATTAACAAAGTAGAGGTAATTTGGGCACACAAAAAGGACAATTGATAACGAATGAATGTCCAGAGACTTTTGCAGCATCCTCTCAATACGTATAGAAGGCACTCTCTCTGCACGCTTTACATATCCATTTGACATTGCGGCCCAAAAAACAATGACAAGTCAAGCGCACTGGCCAAGTGCTGCATATTAATGCCAGACTCCAGCCATCGTTATTATCAACATCAAAATCATCATCATCATCATCATCAGCATCAGGAATAGCTTCAGCTGTCAGTGCTGCAAATTTTCTCACACAAATCGCCCACTCGCCATTATTAGTGCTTTGCAGTAACGCAGCGCGTTTGCAATTCCAATGGCTGCAAAAATTGCAAAGAGACAGCAGACAGAAGACAGCCAGATCAGCAGTTGGAACATAAAATATGCACAATTTGATGTTTCGGCTGATGAGCTAGCAAGCTGCTGAGCAGCAGTCGTCATGGCTGACGCACATTTGGCCAAAAAGCATTGGGCTATACTTGTATGTGTTTGCAATTTGCAAATGCAGGCAGTCATAGCTGCAGAAACAGCCTTTGATTAGCCAGCTGATTATGGCACGCGCAATCGGAAATTGGCTCTTTCCCAATCGTCCCCTCCCCCCTCTCAAATCCACTCCACACTCCACTCGACTCCACAGTACTTGCATTCTGCCACGTGAAGTGTAAAACGTGCCAATGCTGTGTTTGTTGCCCAATCGGCTGCTGCTGCCTGGCAAGCCAAACGTTTTTGCATTACAAATTCGATTTTAATTAAAATGATTTGTCAGATTTCATTATGCTGCTGCCATCAAGGTAATTGAGCTGAGAGGTCGTCCCATATGTGCCAATACTAATGCCAATAGCATGATGATAATAATAGAAAAATGCAATTGCCACAAAACTGCACAAGGGGGGGAAAAATCTATGCACAAAAATGTTTTTTACACACCGCTTTTTTCTACATACGAGCAATATTATAGTATGTATGTAATTGCCAAGCGGCTGCAATTGTTTGGCGCGGTTTTATTGTCTTTTGTGAATGTTGCAGAAACGAGTTGAACAAAAAAATATACTATAGTATATACGATATTGGGGCTTAAGCAAGTGCAGCTTGTGGTCGGTGGTCGCCTTTTGAGGTTGAGTATGTCAGAGTGTCTGTGTGTGTGAGAGAGGGGGAGAGGTGTCTTTAGCTATGTGTGGTAATCTAATTAAATCGAAATTTCAGCTGATTACAAAAGCACGCCCAATGCATTGCAAACAGCGGCCGCTAATTGCCCGAGACCCACAGCCTGTCCCTCTCAGCATGCAACGGGGCGTATGCGCAATGCTGGAGCTCAAACATCTGCCGAGCCACTTTGCATTGCCTTTTTTAATTGCATAGTTTGCTAGGTTGTTTGTTGTTTGTTGTACGCTTTGTGCTTTTGGCTAATAGTAGTGCTTGCTGCAAATAGGCAACCATTAGCAACAGTTGTACCGAAAGCAATGGGTCTCCTCCTCCTCTGCCTTGGCAAATGCGCTCGTTCTTTGGAGTTGGGTTGAAAAACCGCAACTTTTATAACCATAATTAGGAGGTTTTCTGATTAATTCATCTACTACATTTATATAATTCATTTGTTTAGAAACGACCGCAACTTCTGTACAAATATTATTGTAGTTACGAGGAAATCTTGGCTAAGACTTGTGCACAACTGATTATTTTCATTTTTTCCACAAAATATTGCTCATTTTCGAATGTATTTTTAATGTGTATCGTTATTTTGAGCAATTGTTATTGCTTTTGATATATCACATTTTAATGGCCAACATGCGAGCGTTACGTCTTATATCCAATTGTTTTCGCGCATCATATGCAGTAATTGAATATTGGAATTAGAAAACAGAATAGGTATTATAAACAAGAAGAAAAGTTGCATGCAAGTTGGCATGATACTGACCAGCAGCAAAATATCAAACGATTGCTGAATTGTCTGAACGATCTTTGATTGTAAGTATTAGCCATTTATAAACGAAACTTTTTATATTTGAACAACTTCAAATAAAATAAGGTGCAAAAAGTACTTCACAACAACACCTACAAGTGCAGTCTAGCCAAAGTAGTT